GACTTTCCAAAGTTAGACATGGAATAAACGAACACCTCAAGGATGATGGTGACTACGAGATCTATATCTATCGGCACTCATGTGACATTGTACGATGTCAGATCCACTCGAGGCGTAAGAGCAGTGTAAAATACAATGCTTGGGTCCAGCATGACAGCCCCGACACCATTAATCCCATGAAAGACTTTTATTGCCAGTGTTCTACTGGACAGAGAACCATGTGCCTACATAGCCAGTCTCCTGTACTATTTAGTTTACTACACGCATTTCGAAACCAGTAAGCCTTTGCATCCAAAATCAAAAGACAAACCTCAAGTAACTTAGATTTCTCTACCAACCGTCATCTTCCATACATTAGGTATGGTAGACTTTTGCCATTAGAACTACATTACTGTACGATGTAGACCAACACTGACGTGGCCAATCAGATTCTAGGACGAGGAAGCCTTACTGGATTCCAGATAAGATGGTTTAATGTATAACCCATCTTAAATGTATCATTTAGCATTTTTGCTTGTTTTTCCTTAAAAATACATAGTCTAATTGTCAATCAATATTGAGTACTTTGCACTAAACTCCTGATTACTATTTTTGGGCAATTTATTTTGTACTGTTTGGAAATGTTTTCAGCACATAATTACGTATGGACTACAATCGGAAGCTGTATTTTTAACCTTCAAAAAAATTCGTTTAATGTAAGAAATGTAAAAAAAAAAGTTCTTTCTCACAATCCATCACATCTTTATCTCCCGTTCCAAGTATATTCACAACTGTCACTTCTTGTTTTGCATATAAGATATCTAACATGTTATCATCAGCATGTAAATATTTAGCTTTCCTTAAAAAAATTATACTGTAGCATTTTCCCCCAAACCATACGTTTTTTTTCCATTTTTGGCGCAAAAAGAAGCGCTATATTCTTGCGATTGTACATGTTTCGACTTAAATGCCTATTTGTTAACGTACGACTACAGAAGCTACCAACAGCACTTACAGGCTGTTGTATTTGGTTCTTAGACCATTTTGAAACACCACCTTTAAAAAATACAAATTAAGATCAAACAATGGTTGTTGCCAAGATCCCTTTGGGATCTCTTGCTCGGACAATATGATAAGTGATGACTTGAAATTGTGAGACAACATGATTAGTTGTGACTTGTTATTTAGTACAATAAGGTTAGCCTCGATTTGACACCGTAGGATAATCGACAATAGGATTAGTTGTTCCTTGGGGCTTAAATGTTCACAAGCATGTGACACTAAGGCACAACAGCTATAAAACGGGTTTTCCTATAACCCCTGCTGCATGTTAAATTTACAATGTTTGTAGTTGTTTGTAGTTATACTGTCCACAGGATAACTAAACATTAGGACAGCTGACAGTTATGACTTGGTGTTGATGTACAGGTGGCGAGCACCAAAACTACCAATGTGTGTTATACAGTACTGCGTTACATCTAACCACACCAACTTTATGCAGCAGACAACACAGCACAACGAAAAAAAAAAAAGAAAGAAAAGAAAAGAAAAAAGAATGGTTTCGATGGCATGTTTCTTGAAATTTATCTAAAAAAAAAAGAAAATGATTAAATGATTAAAGGAAAAATGAAATGGTGTTTATGGATAAACAAGCTTACAATGCTTTATGGCTAAGGTTGTGTGGTGAAACTGACATCATACATGTAGTTACATAAGTACATAAAATGCCATCTAGTCAAAACATGGGAGGGTTAACACATTCCATATTGCAAGGTAGCAGGAAAGTTCAAAACAACAAAACAAATGTGTTTCTGCTTCCTTGGTTACATTTTTTTTAACAAATCAGGCAATTTTAACTCACCTGGCCAGGTAACTTATGCCTTTGTCCGTTGTCTATTTTCCGTCTGTCAACTTTTTCTAAAATTCGTTACTTGTAATGTATGACTGAGCGGATTTGACTGTTATTTTTTTTTCTAAAAATCATTACTTGCCATGAATGAGTAGGTTGATTTTGACCTAATTTGATTTTGTAAATAAAGGGTCTGCTAGGTTCAAATTAACAATTTAAAGTCTTTCTTCCTCTTTGGCATAACACGATATCGTCCAAATTTCAACTGAAGCATCCTTCGGTGGAAGGAACTCAGTTTTATGCAAAGAACGGGCCTGACAAATCCACCAACATCCAAACCCCACCCTCTTAAATCAAATAGACAGAGTCCTTGGTGGAGGAGGGATCAATTTGGTATCCATGAAGGGTCTGTGGCCTGATGTGTGGGACTTTTGTCCAAAGCATCCTTTGGTAAAGGGAACTAAATTTCATATATGGTTGGTCTGATCCTATCCCTGGGGCAGAGAGGGGCATCAATTAGGGAATTGAAGGAATTACTTTTAAGATTTAAGAATGAAGGTATTTTAATATTTAGTCATCACCAACCATGGGGAGTGGAACCAATGTTGTATAAATGAATGATCAGGGTCCCCTCGGACCTGAGAGCTTGAAAAGCATGATAGAATATACATATTTGTATTGAATGTTTTTTTGAAATCCTGCTTACCTGTAGGATTGACAGGATTCTGTTCAAATTTGGTTGATCATGTTTTTTTCATCTGTGCAAGAATAGTAGAAACTTCCAAAACGTTTGTCACAAAATTATCTCACATTTTTTGTTTTTTGTTTTCTCTTAAGAATGGGCGTCCTGTCGGCTGTCCGTCAATAACCAAAAGGCCTAGAATCATGATATTTAGAAAGCTCCTTGGTTGAAATCTGCAAGCAACCTCTGATTAATCTAAATCATGATATTTTGCTGGTAGGTGAATATCGGTGATTTGAAATGATACTATATTTATAAAAATCATTTGATGACCAGATCAGCGATGAAGGCCCATTTGGCCTCTTGTTTCACTATATCACTGATGCATGAAATATGTCATAGTCATCATTTAAGCTTGTGTTCTGTAGACATCCCACCCTCTCCCCTTCCAAGTCCCATCACACAATGCAAGACTAATCTTTGTAATACTGAAAGTGTTCTATGTAAGGACCGCACAATTATTATAACACCGGACGAATGAAAGAACGAATGGAGCTTATTTTAATATTCCTCGTCAACCTTGTTCATCAATGAATAAAACAAAAGACTATTCAGCCATTAAATAATGAATTATAGATATGACAAGCGATTTCTGATATAATTTTCCTACAAGGTCCCATCTTTGTGTTCAAACAGAATTCAGATTCACTATTCATAAACATTGCTTCAGATCAAACAATATCCTTGTACAGAAGAAGGAATTTTGATAACTTACATTTTCCCTATTGGACCCATCCCTCTCGTCCTAGGGGATTGGGATGCACCGTTATACAGAACTTATTTACCTTCACCAAGAAAACTTCAGGCCAAATCTTGGCAAAATTAAATTATTCCAACAGGAAGGAGTTGAAATTTAAAGAACTTGCAAAATTTCCCCTTTTCCGCCTTCCATCGCAAGGAGGGACAAGACTTACTATTTATGTAAAACTGAATGCCTTACAACAAATTTGGGCAATATCGATTTATTAGGAGGAGAAGGATTTTAAAGAACTTGCAAAATTTTCCATTCTGGGCCCCTTCACTAAGGTACCTGGGAACTGAGAATCCATTCTTACTCAAACCTCACCCAGGGATACTTCTGACCAAATTTAAAAGATATCTAATAATTCCTAACGAAGAAGTAATATTTTAAGAAATTTGCTCGATTTCCCCAAGGGGCCAGAATCCACTGTTTATGCACAACTGATTCCCCTTCACCCAAAAATACCTTAGTCTAGATATGGGAAACATCCCTTCATTCCTACAGGAGGTGTAGGATTCTATTTCCACTATTGGGCCCTGTCCCTTCTACCCCAGTGAGCCAAGACTTTTTGATTCCCCTTCACCCGAGAATGCTTCAGAATGAACGAATTAAGGCGATATCCAATCATTCCTACAGGAGGAGTTGAATTTTAAAGAATTTAGCCTATTGTCCCGCCTCTCCCGCTCATGGGGATCGAGACCTTATGTCTATACAATATTGATTCTCCTTCATTCAATAATGCTTCCGACCAAATTTGGGTTCATTTCTACAGGAGGAGTAGGATTTTTGATAATTTACTCTATTTCTCCTATTGGGTTCCACCCCTCGCGATCCAGGGGGCCGAGACCTTGCGTCTAAATAAAATTGATTTCTCTTTACCCAGGAATGCTTCTGACCAAATTTGGGCAAATTCTGTTCAGTCGTTTATGACTAGTAGCGATTTTTAGTTAAAAAGGTGACGGACGTTGCTCCATTGCAAGAGCTCAACGTTCCTTCGGACCAGGTGGGCTAAAACACACGATGTCCTATATTAATGATTATTGTAGCAATTTAAAATAGGTATTTGCATGTCACGTGTCTGTTTTTAGGAGAATGGGTTTATTGTGATTTACTGGAGACAAGTTTCCTGTTTCTATTTTGATGAAACTGAAGCGAAGTTTAACCTTAATTACTTACTTATGTGTTATTGACTGGAAGAAACATCAGTACAATGTGATAGTGATATGTAGCGAAAAAGTACATATAAATCAAAATATAAACAAAAAGTCCAATATAAACATACTTTCGTACATTTGTATTAAAAATGAAATGGAAGTGAAAAAAGGGAGAATGAAAAGATGGAAAACACTACATCGTCCACTTTAAAGCATTTCATATTGTACGTAATGGGGTGTCTACTCCATGTTGGATTGGTGTTTTACACTGATTAGCAATCTAGGATACTTTCAATACACGGGTGTCCATAATTTTATTCCAATGCTTCATCAGAAACGTACAACAGGATGGCTGAAACTTCGATGAAATTCAACACTTTCCCTCATATTTGGCTTGCAATATGAGCGATATCATTGGAAAAAACACAAAACCAATATTAAAAATACCTGATAAAATCTGATAAAACAAGCTGTATCACTTATACATGTAATCTTCACTTATAGAGATTTGTCGTAAATTAGTTCCGTTTTAGTTCATTCGACGACAACACATTTAGTATGATCCGTTATTTCAATAACAACTGGTTTCCATTGTAACACGGGATGTTTCACCTTCATTCGAACCTTTACCGCATTACCCTGTAAAACGAAAGTAGAAAACACTGTTATTGTCATATGATTAAGCCTCCTTTCATTGTTAACCACAATATCATGTCAAGTAGCACCATATCATTATTTTCAGTCTATAGTTAGATGTCACAATCACTAAACTGAAACTTAAACTAGAATATAATAAATGTCTCTTTTTAAAAGTATATAAACTACTGATGAATTACGGCAGTGACTCGGACCCATGTTTTCTGTGATTCAGATCCTTGATCCAGGTCCATTGTTCGCGCCTGCAGTTCAACTAGATAAATGACACCCTCTTCTACAAGACTAGACTTACATATTCCCCCACTGATGAACAAACCTGGCAAGACTAGATCCATTCCAACTCTCCTTTGATGGTTGAATATTTGATAATGATAGATTCTCGTTCAATATTACACCCAGAATGCCTGTTTGCGCCCACCTCCGACACAGCTGTGGCTACTTTACCGCTACGCAAGTGTGTTGGTTTACGATGGCCGAAAACGGGCTGACAAAACGAACGACCGCTTGAAGAACACCTATACAGTACAGCTAAGAACGCCTCTTGTAGAACACCAACACAGTACAGCTTAGAACGCCTCATTGAAGAACTCCCATAGTACAACTAAGAACGCCCCCATAAGGAACAACTATACAGTACAACTAAAAACTCCCCCTTTAAGAACACCACTACGGTACAGCGAAGAACGCCCAATTGAGAAACACCTCTACAGTATAGCTAAGAACACCCTATTGAAGAACACCTATACAGTACAGCTAGGAACACCCCGTTAAAGAATAGTTACACAGTAAAGCTAACACCGCCTCCTTGTAGAAAACCTTTGGGTAAAGCTAACACGGCCTTCTTGTAGAACCCAACCATCCCCCTTCAAGAACATCTAGAGTACAGCCAAGAAATCCCCTATAAGAGCACCTAAACAGTACAGGTATGTACGCTCCCTTGAAGAACACCTATACGGTATGACTAAATATGTTCCCTTGTAGAACACCAAAACAGTACAGCTTACAACTCTCCCTTGAAGAACAGCTATACAGTGTGACTAAGTATGTACCCTTGTAGAACGCCTATACGGTACAGGTTACAACTCTCCCTTGAAGAACAGCTATACAGTATGACTAGTATGTTCCGTTGTAGAACACTAAAACGGCTTATTACATCCCGTTGAAGAACACCTATAGAGTGCGTGTTGGTAAATGTATACATAAGATATATGTAATGGCTACCTTGAGCAGTAACTGAAGTTGTTGACACGGGTTCAGACTCTGTTTCCTTTGTATTGTGGAGCTGCCTCTTGCCCTGGTGATTTTAGTGTCGCGGACATTTCGCACTCCAGGTAAAACATCATGTTTATTACGGACGGTTTCGCTGTTTAGGCCGGCTGTTCTGATCGTTTTGGTCTTTCCTTTTCCCATAGTACTGTTCAACAGTCTGCCAATGTCCATTTTGGCATTCTTCGGTGGTTTAGGGCTCTTGATAAAAGTATCGTTTGCTCCAAATACGACATCAACAACTTGAACCTGTTCTTTAGAAGTAGTGTTATATAAATTTTTCTCTTCTTTCATTTGCTGTTCTCTTGTCTTTTTGATCGCATTTTTACCATGCAGGTATCCAACGTATTTCGGAATCTTTGTTGAACTATCAAACTTTTCAAATTTGTTATTGACAATAACTTTATCCTCGTCGGTGAAATGGATGTACAATACGACGGCTGCCATTATGCTGATGGAAATCCCAATTATTCCAATAACGAAACTAAAGTTAAGATAGTTAACGGCCCTCACGTGACGACCACGCTTATACGCATGTCTAGCCCGCAAATATGCAAAAACCGCCACACCACCTAGCACGGGATTGCAGAGAGTAGACATTATCAACCCCACCACGGATAACTTCGGAAAGAGGCTGTGCCTATAACAGAAAGACAAGTAGTGTAAAACACATATCACTGATACTATTTTAAAATAAGATTTAATTTTCATTTCCTTTTCGATGTATTATTTGAACGAGACGTTTTTGAAACGTTATTTTGTAAAGATGACTAAATTTTTGGGAGGGAGGGTGGGGTGGGGTGGGGTGGGGGTGGCGGGTTCTGGGTTGTAAAAATACTTATGTCGTACATGTACTTTTTACACATGTAAAGCCATGATACGGCAGATTATGGTCTTATAAAAATGACAGAAAAACCTTTATTATATCCTGAGGAAAACGTAATGAATTTGGAATTAAAAGTTTTAAGTAATTTATTAGTAAATCCCAACAAACACTGTAACAACTTGACACAGGAATGATTTTTTTTCAAATAAGATTTAGGAAACTTTACTTTTAAAAGTCGGCTAAATGATGTTTATCATATTGGATTGGTAATTATGAATATAAAACAACAACCAGAGAAAACAAAGCAAATACCGACAATATGAAAAGGAAGGCATTGCAATCCTTAGAATAGAACACTTTTCCATAAATCCGTGTGTACACAGTATCGATAGGAAAGTCGTTACGAATTTTTTTTTTAATTCGCGGAAAATCTCTGACTGTGTACGACCTGACTCGTCATCATATGCATTTTTTTATATCATCATCATACTGAATGTTCGTTTTGACAACCTGTCCCTAACGTGATCACAATTCGGTCAGGGATAATGCTTTCTACTAGAACCCTTTCCCTTTCCAGAGTCCGTTTCGCCTCTTGTCTAAAGTAATGTGATCAGGTTTAATCCGCGATATTTTCGCAGTACTTACCGTCTTTGTCCTGTGTTTTTGGGACTAACAAACGACGGGCAAAGACTTCCCGTGGTGACATTCGATGACACTAGAACGTGAGAAAATAAGATAATTGTATTTGACAAAAAAAGTGCACAAAAACCCTAATATATACAGAGGCAAAAATATCTTAGAGACCCAAGGACATACTGAAAGAGGTCAAACATTGTTATGTTTTTATAAATCAGGTGTTTACAGGTGCATCGTAATCTCTTAAAATCGCTAACCGTGTACCACTTTTACTTCAGACAGTATAGTGACCAAGCTTTGACAAATTTGACAGATATTGTAGAATTCCTCTTGGTCTCCGCTGTGCACAGTAAATTTTAATACTAGTCGGAAAAACAAAATTCTCAAGACACTATGGACGCATCTTTCTGAATCTACCGGCAGCCATTTTGTATTTTAATATCTTTCAGAAATATATTGCGATTTCTCATCGGTAACAGGATGGATATTTAGTCAATATATAATTCCCTAAGTCCGTGTACGATTCCCTTAGTCCGTGTACCTTTCCCTAAGTCCGTGTACGTTTCCCTTAGTCAATATATAATTCCCTTAGTCCATGTACGCTTCCCTTAGTCAATATATAATTCCCTAAGTCCGTGTACCCTTCCCTAAGTCCGTGTACGTTTCCTTTAGTCAATATATAATTCCCTAAGTCAGTGTACCCTTCAGTTAGTCTGTGTTCGCTTCCTTTAGTCCGTGTACGCTTCCCTTAGTCCGTGTTCGCTTCCTTTAGTCCGTGTACGCTTCCCTTAGTCCGTGTTCGCTTCCTTTAGTCCGTGTACGCTTCCTTTAGTCCGTGTACGCTTCCCTTAGTCCGTGTACGCTTCCCTTAGTTCGTGTACGCTTTCCTTAGTCTGTGTACGTTTCCTTTAGTTCGTGTACGCTTTCCTGAGTCCGTGTACGTTTCCTTTAGTTCGTGTACGCTTCCCTTAGTCCGTGTTCGCTTCCTTTAGTCCGTGTACGCTTCCCTTAGTCCGTGTTCGCTTCCTTTAGTCCGTGTACGCTTCCCTTAGTCCGTGTACGCTTCCTTTAGTCCGTGTAGTCCGTGTACGCTTCCCTTAGTCCGTGTACGCTTCCCTTAGTCCGTGTTCGCTTCCTTTAGTCCGTGTACGCTTTCCTTACTCCGTGTACGCTTCCCTTAGTCCGTGTATGCTTCCCTTAGTCCGTGTTCGCTTCCTTTAGTCCGTGTACGCTTCCCTTAGTCCGTGTACGGTTCCCTTAGTTCGTGTACGTTTTCATTAGTCCGTGTACGCTTCCCTTAGTCCGTGTTCGCTTCCTTTAGTCCGTGTACACTTCCTTTATTCCACCTGCGCTTCCTTTAGTCCGTGTATGCTTCCCTTAGTCCGTGTACGCTTCCCTTAGTCCGTGTTCGCTTCCCTTAGTCCGTGTACGCTTCCCTAAGTCCGTGTACCCTTTCCTAGGTCCGTGTACGTTTCCTTAAGTCCGTGTACCCTTCCCTAAGTCCGTGTACGTTTCCCTTTGTCCGTGTACCCTTCCCTAAGTCCGTGTACGTTTCCCTTAGTCCGTGTACCCTTCCCTAAGTCCGTGTACGCTTCCCTTAGTCCGTGTTCGCTTCCTTTAGTCCGTGTACGCTTCCCTTAGTTCGTGTACGCTTCCCTTAGTCCGTGTACGTTTCCTTTAGTTCGTGTACGTTTCCCTTTAGTCCGTGTACTTAGTCCGTTTTCTTAGTCCGTGTACGTTTCCTTTAGTTCGTGTACTCTTCCCGTAGTCCGTGTTCGCTTCCTTTAGTCCGTGTACGCTTCCCTTAGTTCGTGTTCACTTCCTTTATTCCACGATACTTTCTTTAGTCCACATACGCTTCCTTTAATCCATGTATACTTCACTTAGGCATACAAGGTCCTTTTTATCCATTTAGATTTAACTTAGTACATGCACGCTACCTTTAATCCATGTATACTTCACGTAGGCCATGCACGCTCCATTTAACCCATGTAGACTTTCTTTAGCCCACGTACGCTACCTTTAATCAATGTACACTTTCTTTAGTTCATGCATGCTGCCTTTAATCCATGAACACTTCACTTAGGCCATGCACGCTCCATTTAATCCATGTATACTTCACTTAGTCCACGTACACTTCCCTTAGTCCGTGTTCGCTTCCTTTAATCCGTGTACGCTTCCCTTAGTCCGTGTACGCTTCCTTTAGTCCGTGTACGCTTCCTTTAGTCCGTGTACGCTTCCCTTAGTCCGTGTACGCTTCCCTTAGTCCATGTACGGTTCCCTTAGTTCGTGTACGCTTCCCTTAGTCCGTGTACGCTTCCCTTAGTTCGTGTACGCTTCCCTTAGTCCGTGTACGCTTCCCTTAGTTCGTGTACGCTTCCCTTAGTCCGTGTTCGCTTCCTTTAGTCCGTGTACGCTTCCCTTAGTCCATGTTCGCTTCCTTTAGTCCGTGTACGCTTTCCTTAGTCCGTGTACGCTTCCCTTAGTCCGTGTACGCTTCCCTTAGTTCGTGTACGCTTCCGTTAGTCCGTGTACGCTTCCCATAGTTCGTGTACGCTTCCCTTAGTTCGTGTACGCTTCCCTTAGTTCGTGTACGCTTCCCTTTGTCCGTGTTCGCTTCCTTTAGTCCGTGTACACTTTCTTTATTCCATCTGCGCTTCCTTTAATCGATATACACTACACTTAGGCACGCTTCCTCTAATCCACGTACACTTTCTTTAGTTCATGTACGCTTTCCTTAGTCCATGTGCACCTCCTTTAGTCATTTATGGTGCAAATTTAATTTTGAGACTAATGGTCATATAATTTTTGGATGAACTGATATATTGGAAGAAAAATATGACCAATCTCAATATACTCGGGCGTTAACACGTGAAATCATCGATATCCCCTCTCCTCGAAATTGTTATTTACCTGTGTGCCGTCTAGTTCTTAACTGTAATTAATGTGAGCTTAGCACTGGCTAGTCTGATCAGAGTTATTTTGTCGGACAGTGAGAAGTGAGGGTTCGTAACAAAATAATATTGATAACAAAAAATAACAAGAAATTTCTCGGCTTTTTATGCCATTGGTTTAGAATTTTCCCCCGTGTATCTGTCAGAGAGTGGTAAGATTCCTAATCATTTTAATCACAATATATATATATTCAGTTATAAATCGCCTCTTTCAAAATGTCACAATTTAACAGCAATGACTTATTCAGTGACGAAAGTTAGCACGATCAATTAGAAAAACTATCCAGGGTTCTACTGTTCATTTCAAAAAGGTTAGTTATTCACTAATTCACGATCAATTAGAAAAACTATCCAGGGTTCTACTGTTCATTTCAAAAAGGTTAGTTATTCACTTTTGTAGAAAAATAGTTAATGTTAAGTCACTCGAATGTCTTCGTTGTAATTCTACAATGAAACATGGACTCCTATTCTTCTAGTAAACGTCCCTGAGTTTGCGAAGTTTTTTTTTTCTCTCGATACGATCAAAATTGAAATAAAAAAAGTTTACAAAAAACTTATATCTGAATTAAGATTGTTATAGATTAACTAAACTTCTCATGACTTACCGGTAAATATAGAATCTGCAGCATTGTGTCGTTTTGGATTCGACATTGCCATTTCACAGGTTTTTGTGTACAGCTGGGCTGCAGTCGAATGTACTGGTAGACTGCCGTGTTGCTGGTACATATAGGTATTTTGGTGACAGGGGCCAGTAAAAGGCCAGTCAAAGGTCATTATTCTGTTGACGTAATACATGTACTCTACAACACACACACAGTTTGTCATCCGAACTAGTTTTTTTCTGACGAATGAAGGTCAATTGTTCTTATAATTTATCAGAATAAACGGTAAGAACTTTTTACTGGTGCAGGAAAGAGTTTTTTTGTTTAAAACATATTTGGAAAGTATATACATATAAACACCCTCCCCAAGAAAGTTGCACTCAGTCCCTAACTTGTCTATTTTTGGACCACACCTATTGGTGAACCCCACACCCGATGGGTCAAATTGTGAAAGATTTCAGTTTATAGTAGACATCGGTTATACTTACAGAGTACGTAGATGTGTAAAAATAACTCCTACATCTTAATCTGTCCAAAAACAATTTAGTATCACTTCAAAATGAGTTCACATGTATTAACATTTCATCGATTTATTGCAATATGTGTGCAAAATTTGCCAATACTAAATAGTCGACTTCCAAATGATAAATATGCACGCTCCGCTTTAGCGGACGACTGTAAGATTTATCTCCCTTCGTTCAATTATCCGCCTTCACTTTGTCCAACAAACGGACAATGTTATAAAATCCGACTATATTAAAATAATATTGATTCTATATCATCTTGATACTTAATTTTGACAATCGTGTGTATCGAGTAGTCTTGACCTTATATCTAAACAATAAGTCCGAGGACCTTAACGGTCACCTGAGTCACAACCCTTCTTGTAACATGTCATAGAAACGATTTTGTTTAAAAATGTGATTCAACATTAGCTGCTGTCCTATGTTAAGGCTTCTAACCAAATTTGAATTAAAAAAAATACAATTCAGAGTTGAATTTTCCTATATGAATTCTTCAATACAGGAAAAATAAAACATTTTTGAAATTTCATTCAATTTGACCCTTTTTTGGTCCCGCCTAATAGCCCCTACGGTTCAGTCGAGGTCAATATGTGCATCTTAAAAAACTGTCAGCTTATACTAATCAAAAAAACAGTCTAATCAAATTTGAACTATTTCTGAAAGAAAATAAATTATGCTCAAACATGTAATTTTCCTATAAAAATATAGTATATTCTTTCTCCTCCCCAAGAGGAAATGTGAGACCCTAGGATCAGGAAATTTACACTTTTATTAAGCACCCTAAGAAAATTCCATCCATGAAAAGTATTTGGTTCTGCATTATCTAGGTACCGAGAAGAAGATTTTTGAAACGTCTGTCAATTTTATCCCAATTTGGCCTCACCCAAGAGCCCCTGAGGTTCAGTCGATGTCAATATGTGCATCTCATGAAACTGTCATCTTAAACTAATAATTCTAATCAGGTTTGAACTATTCCAATGAAAAATAAACGAATGATGTTCATAACTATGATTTTCCTATTTAAACAATAGTAAAATTTATCCCCTCCCCTGGGGAAATGTAAGGCCCTGGGGTCATGAATTTTACAAGTTTGATAAAGTATTTGAAGGCTTTCCATCCATGAAGAGTGCTGGATTCTATTATACCCGAGATTCAAGAAGTAGATCTTTGAAATTTCAATCAATTTTCAATTTAACCTTCTTTGGCCCCGCCCCTCATGCCTCTGGGGGTTGGGGACCATATCATTTACAATTTTGGTGTGCCTTTAGCTGGACAAAAGGGGATTGAAACAAGTCACCCTGAGACTCTGTCTCATGTAACCTAAATAGCATTTGAAATATGTTCAAACAATATAACGTAAAGGGTTCGAGCAATGTTATCCAATATAATCTTGGCCTTGTCCTAAGTCTTGTCTTATTGTCTGAAAGCAAGCTAAAATAGGTTTTTTAAATTCAAGAGTATTGGAATATTTCAAAATCTAATGCCTGCGGGTCTTTTTAAAACGCTGCCAATTCCTCTCAGCTTTTTACCACAGAGACATAATTCCAGCTTCTTTTATGAGATATGGAAATAAGCCTGCATGAACTTAGTAACATGGGAGTCTTTAAAAATATCTTCGCAAATAAAAACAGAACAAGTTTTTTCTCCAGCATACTGCAATTTTATTTCTGACTCTGGAAATGATTACTCATGTTTGAAAATGACATAAGAATAGATACAGACAGTGTCAGACAAAGGGATGATATATAAATGCACCGGTCTATGAAGTGATGTAAAACTTGATGTGATTGGATGATCATTTAACAACAGATAATCGAATGATGAGAAACCTGCTGCTATTGGTCCAAAAAAAGTCAACATTTGTGCAAAGTTCTAAATGAAAACAGATTAAGCATGTCAGTGAATCACCTGCAATCAACACATGGTGAAATATCATCATCACATGACAGACACATGATCAATTCTAATCTTCATGCGACTGACCAAGTTGTAATGAAAAATTGTTACTATGTGACTTTTGTATTTAAAATAATTGATGACACTTAACACCAAACAAAAGTGCCAAATAAAATCCTTACTTTTCTATGAAAAACATGATAAAAATACTCATTTGGAGGAAAATTACAAACAAAACACACATGAACCGCACAAGTTTAAAACTCAGCAGTTTGAAGTGAAGACTTAAGTCAGCATTCTTTTTTTTGATGAGTTCACCTTTTTTTTTTTTATATAAAAAGACCTGTTTTTTTTCACTTTTTACCTGAGACATACCAACAAACAATTTCTCAAGAAAATGTCAACATTATGCACAAATGATGCAATATAAATTAGCGGGCAAACAATGTGACTAGACAGACAGTAAACAGAGAGCGATTGAGGCATGTCACCATAGCTCTGAACCCTTTGGGTTTCAAGGTGAAAATCAGTTATAAAATACCTTACTAATTTATAATCAGTTAAAGGGTCCTAACCAGGTTATGCTCTGTTATCTAACCACTGAGGAAAGGGAACCTAGTGATGTTTCTCAAATATATACACCCAACCAAGTTATAGACTCCTTAGCAGTTTCCCTATTCATGCTAATCAAAATTTCAAAATTATGTTGTCAAAAATATTTCAGTACATGTTCAAACTTGCCCATCGAGGCAGTTTCATCCCTGGTGATGACAGAAAGTACTAGTCTGTTTTCTAAGTCTGGTAAAAGTGTTCAGTAAAGGCAAGAACAAAATAAGTTGTCTTCCCTTGATTAAAAACACTACTGAATTAAACAATGAATACTCCCTCCTTAATAAGTCTATTAAATCTGAGGGATATATTTCAAGAACCAAGAAAAATCTGGCTAGACTTAGTCTGCAAAATACACTAGAAGAAAGAAGAACAGAGATCAATATATATATATATGTATATATATATACAGCTGATACATGATTACATCACTGACATAAAAAATCATAACAACAATACTTTAAGCAGTTTTGACAACTTCCGGTAGATAACCATGTGACTTCTACACTTATTTTGTAATTTTAATATTTGATTGTCAAATAGGGTTATATAAATCTCCTGAAAAAACTGTAGTTCTAGTCACAACAATAAACATCACTAACAAAAGGGAGGTGCCCTATACGCAGTGCTGAACGTCAGAATACCAGCTCCTGGTCAAGTATCAATTTGGAGGGCAGCTACAGTCGATACACCAGCAGGAAGATAACTCCCTGTCCACAACCTGTATCCATCATCAAACTAGTGTGTTATGTTGTGTACTGTATTTAATCCTGTCTCCTCCAGGTATCTAACAAAAATAAAACACTATATGTTTTAACTGCCACCATAGTAACGGCCAGGAGAAGGTTCAAAATATAATGCTAAAATCTAATACAAAAGTATAGGGTATCATAATGCCACGCTTAGGTCAGATCTATATGTAAACATGTTGGCCCTGTCCTGATCTATAATCTAAATGACTTGAATTATTCAATCATTTGTAATGGCCAGATATAATACCTCTTTGTTTGGTAACATGTTGTCAGGAGAATGAGGTGTTGTCTTTGGTTTACTTAATACACATAAATATCAATGTCTTCATCTACCTTTATATGAATACTGTACTTTTCCATTTCCATCTTATAAAAGTGGGTGCCAAATGCACTGATAAGTAAAGCTATATCAAATGATAATTAGATTATTTCCCTTGTTATATTTTCAAGGAAATGAAAAACTCCTTTTGTTCTCAGGAAAAAAAAAGAAAAAAATAAACAGGTAAATACACAAGCTTTCCCTTAAACAATGGCCAGGAAGGCATATCCATAGAATACATTCTGAATACCAAAAAACTGTATTCAAAATACTGAACGAAGCACTTTTGAAATCCATAAGATATATATACATGTATACATACAAGTCATGGAAATATATTACCTTAAAAGTATTTTACCTAGTAATCAAATTTACAACCTGACTACCAGTAAAAATGTCTGTGAACAATCTATATACATCCCACACATCAACCAATATTGGACTATATCAATCCATAGTCAATGCACTTCTACGGAACAAAAAATTGAGATCCAAAATAATTTGACATAGTATAAAACGAACACAACATAGTGACACAGACATACCCATCCTACACACACCTCCTTTGCTCTATAAGTTAAGGACATTTTCACAAGGCGTCATATACACAGGTCCCCATCCATAGGACAAAACAAACCAAACTATGAACACAGAGTCTTTGTACACAACAGTTTCTGTGGCACATCAGTAGACAAGATAATCATAAGTGACAACATGTATATAGAGTCTATTTCTCACTCTATCGACACACTAAAAAAAATCAATTTCCATATAAGTTTTGATTTTATACAAATTCTGAGACTGTTTTCATACACTGCAGTTGATCTTGTATTGAAATATGCTCATTTACTGCTAGTAATCTGACAAACAAGGATTTTGTATATACCAGTTACAACTGAACTAAGATCCTGAATTTTTGTTTATGAAAACAATACTTAGAGATTTTAAGAAATACACTGATTCCTATTCCCTGGAGCACGTTTTGATAAAACCAATATATTTACCAAGAGATTTGAAAGTGACAGACTCCTTTTCAAAGTAACCGGTATAGCACATATCAGTTATGATTTTTTTTTTATAGACTAAAAGTTGTAAACTGGCAATTTTATAACATATATCTGAAAATAATGCTAACAGTTGTTCCCAAACCAGTGAAAAATAAAAACGACCAAACAACAAAATTGTAAAAATTAACAAAGCTGACAATAAAAGTGTATAAATTCTCAGGTGCTGTCAGCAATAACATCTAAATAAAAGCATCCAAGTGTAACACAGCTCCAAATCTTCTAGTGATAAGTGACTATTTGGAGTTGATAACTAAAAGGAATAGAAATCACTACCATACAAAAAGATAATCAGTTATCAAATTGTAAAGCAGAACACTTTTAATTCTAAAGAAAATAGTTATTTTCAGAGATAATTACTTTTATCATACTCCTTTTATCATTAAATTGGGATATATTTGCAAATGAATATCAAATGGATAAAAAACTGTATAACAAGAACTTTTTCATGATTTTCCGCTGAAAAGATGCTGTTGATAAAAGCTTGTATTTGTATACAGCTGATGTGTAACTTCTGGTGGTTATACAAATGTATAAGCTAAGAAACAATAGCTACATGCAAGTTATAAATACTTAGAAAATGTTTGCTGTGTTTTTGTCAAAAATTGAGGTACAAAATATTCACAGAATTAATTTTGATGACTACTGTATCACGGGCAAAAAAAGCAGATCTTTGTAGAAATGATATAAATGCTTCACAATTTGATGGTCAACAATCGAACAGTGACAGAGGTAAAAAAAACACAAACTCTGGCAAAATGAAGACGTTATCAAACGATTTAGAATAGAGCGAGATTTTGTTTCAGTATTACTAGTAGACAAGTAATGATTAATTTAGCATGAATTATAAATCCCCTTCGATGTTGATGACACGTAATGTTACAAATGATCCTATTCTCAGGTGTCTGGTTAGCATCAAATGAAAGTTCCACATCAAAAAATATAAAATTTTTGACATGTCATCTTGTGTTACCACAAAACAATCCTTATTGAATCCAAATTCTTTAGTTATGTCTAGGAGAAATAAATAGAATAAACATGAATTAATAGTAGGCAATCCATCAATGTTGATCGTAGCATATCTATCACCAAAGAAGTTATCAATCAGGCAATTTATATATAGCACAGCACTGACACATCAAAAATAACTTACAAATGAAAATTAACAAAAAACTATACTGATGACTCAAAATTAACAATTTAGCATGAAATTTGTTTATTACTGTGATAAGATGAGTTCCTTCAGTGCATAGCTACCTGTGATCCGAGAAAACTGCTTCACAATGTGTTACTTTAACAAAGGTGAGGCAGACATTAGTCAGTTCAAGCATTCAAATAAAAACCTTCAGGACAAGACAAGACCCAACAAAATTAAAAGTTTAACAGGAAGCAGATGTATTTATATCATATATTGTTCATTACATAAAAATGTCATTATGAATTTTTAATTAAACTACTCATTCAAGGTAATAAAGACTTAATCAAAACTTAACATTAAAAATAATGGAAATTTTGAAATAACTTGACTTAGAAAGAAAACAATAATTTGGACTTGATCAAAGATGAATTCCTACTGTGGAATCTTGATACCAATGCCAACACATATCCAGTACCACAAAACAAGATTTTCACCCTGCATACCATTTATTGACATTTGTAATCAACGATTTTTAATCTTGGACCAACTAAAGAGCTTCAAATTCAATTCCTTTTCTTTTTGCAATCCAAATTAGCTTGCATTATTTCAAGAATTTGTTTCCGACATGTTTTTAGCTCCCAATATTGAATCATATGAACAATGTTCCATGAATTTTCACTGAGAACAAACACTAAAGCACAGTGAAATAAAGCTCTTCAGTATATGATTTTCATACACACACGAAAGAAGAGAAAAGTCACAAAGAAAAAAAAAAACGACAAAGGAAAAAATATATTGCAACAAGATTTGATTGATTATTGCACTCCAAAACAGCACACTCATGTTGAAAAAGAAAACAAAATTCTATGATTTCAATTCTGTTCCAAACATATTACAAGAGTCATGGCTATGACTGAGCAGAAAATACCAAGATGAAATGACTCGAAAAATAAATAACCTATTTATCCCTTACGCTGAAAGAAGTGAAATCTTTATCAAAATCCACCATAATATCTGGATACAAGCAATATAGATACAACAGTAGAAGTTCTATATCTCTAAAAATTTTAATTGCTTTTGGAGGTTTGTAACACTTAAAAGTCTGAAGGTAGATAAGGTTATAGCAAATTAAATACAGCACAAATGCACAGCTTTTAATAGTAATTGTTTGTGGAAAGTTTTCATGTAATAATTGGTTGTTTAAAAATTGGAATTGATTTCTACCTTTGGCCTGATTGAACAATATATATATAATGTGTATATATATAGATAAAAAAACCCTAATGATTCGATTTTTCAAACTTTAAAGATAACAATAAGAAAATCCAAGTGAGCACTATAGCATAAATATACTCATGGATCCTTCTCACACTCCAACAAATTGTCAAAAGTCTGTTTGATTGATGTTCACATAAAACTATAATACACTATAATACAACGCAGCACGACCTCGTCATTCACTGCATGCGCCTTTCATAATTTAACTATTTACAACAGTTAATCAATGCAGATCTTCAAACAAAATTGGTCTAAAAAAAGAACAAACCGTCAATATCTGCAAAATTTAATTTATACAACAGTAATCCCCATTTACAACTCAACTAACAACCTCACGAGGCCATGGTACTGGTAGCCACAACCTGTTGGAGCACTGCTTCCTGCGTCTGTGATTGCTGGGGCTGCAGTGATTGAAGGTAAAGCTCCTGATTGGGTGATAATTGTCCATAAGGAGACACTGATTGTTGTGACCTTTGCATGTCCTCACATGCTGTTTCCATGGCTGCCTCTGCCTCCTCAAATTCTTCCTCTGAACCAGTCAGACCTTCCTCCAGGTCACGGGTCTCTTCTTCCTCCGCTCTGTCCAGCGGAGAGTGGCCATTTTCTATGAAGGTTTCAGATTCCAGTTCTGGCTCTGCCTTGATTCCCATGAGTTCATCCCTAAAAAAGAGAATATTCTCTGTAGATAATATTGTATATATTAAACTTGAACAAGAAAGCTTGTAGATCTGCAAATATACAGAGGACTGTATCATCATCCCAAAGTCATCAGCATTGGTATTTACTTTACATATCATCTTATGACATTACAACTGGACAATAATTTATAAAATCTGAAGTAATAATTCGAAGTTTTATATATCAAACTGTCTAATTTTATCATCAAATCATTTTAAACATTCCAACTTATTTCATCAAATATTGAACATAAGCTGGTAAATAAATATTCTGCTAAGATAATATTGTTACATCACATCTAGATATAAAAACAAATATTGCTAAAACACATTCAAATCACTTCTTTATTATCATATATAGCATGACATGTACTAATGTCAACACCTACTTCAAGCCCCCTCTCATGTTAACCTTTATTTGCTGAATTTTATATCACAGATACAAAATGAAAGTCGTACTTTCTTATCGGAAATGGATCTTTTTGAATCTTAAACTGCACAAACAATCTGTATGAGCATTAATAAAATTGAAGTAAAAACTAGCTGAGACTTTACATAAACGATAAAATATGGGGATGATTATGGGCCCCTAAGGGATCTACGCTCAAGTGATTCACCGAATTGTGCACTCGAGGGAAACAGACTGTACAAACACTGATGTGCCCATATATTTGTGTAAATAAATACCACCTCGCGCGACGGTTGATCTCATTCATTGTCATTCATCTTACTTTTTCCTCAATCATTACCATAATGTAATATTTCACAAGTCTACAATGATTTCCTATTTTGTAGCTACATGTATATCTATGTACATGATAATGAGACACTGCCAGCGTTCTTACCATATTAAATATTTAATATTTATACATACATAGAAATACCGTGTTACCAAACCAACCTAGAATATTGTAGTAAATAATATAAAAAGTTTTAATAATGAAAAATAGATCAATTAAGCAAACTAAAAGATCAATAAATTGTAATTAAATGATGTAAAAATTCACATCAATATAAAATTGAATAATTAATTTATTTATAAAATTGGTAACTTTTTCTAAACATTTTTGTTTGTTTTTTCTAAGTTAATGGTTTAATATCTCAGTAATTGACATTAACAATAAAACCAGATAGATGATGTGAAATGTTTTTTAATGGACAGGTTACTATGAAGTCTGATATCCATTACCACATATAGAAAACTGATAGTAAAAAAAACATGTATCTGTTTTTAACATCATAACATTAATATTATTGTGATACTTAGGTCAATGAAAAGGTTGTTTAAACAACCGCCCTCACCACGTCAAAGTCATATTGATGACATCTTGTTTCCGCTTAACAACTATGAAAAATTTAATTATACAAACACACGCCACTTTCATGAGTAAAAATAGCCCCCCTCATTTATCAACATACTTTCTGATATTTATGGGATGTATTTGCTATTATACCTGGATTTGCCAACTCATCTTTTACTGTCGCCTCAGCTAATATATGTATTTATATATCACTGTATCTATAGACTGGTACTGTGACCTATGTTAAGTCATGATCTGCCTTATTTATTATGCCATGGAGCATGCCAATGATATGCAAGTTATGACAGATCCTTGTGAAATTTATTTATTTGCGATACATCTCCTTATACATAAAAGACTTATGATTGTCTAGCAAATGTCAATACTGACCCGCTTAACAAAGTGAACAGTTTGATCTGTATGACATATAATAAACTAACCTGATTCTAATTTGCATACAGTCATCAGTAAGCAGTATATACGAGGGTGTCATGAACTGACATGCCCACTTCCGTTATCCATGGCCTGACATCCATCAATAAGTGATTGACAGCTAGCTGGCCTCAAACGAGATCAGATCAACTTCTCTATCCTTTGATTCTTGTTATTAATTAAATCCCTTGTCAGGCGTTCTTAGATAGTGAATTAATAGATGAAAATACTTTGTTTTTATTTTAAATCCCTGTCAAACATTTCCATTGTTTAATTTTCCATGTAACAAAGAAAGAATATTTCCTTTTGAACTCCTTGAATATCAATGACTTCTATGTAAAATCTGTGACATTTGTTTGTTCTGATAAACAGATAGCAACATGGCACATATTTCAATTTTCATGCCTTTCAATTAAAAAATTTGATTATTTTGGAGTTGAACTTATCTGATGATAAAAGCATCATTGTTCTTTCGATAAATTTGATGTCAAGAGCTTGTCATTTCCTCACAATAACATGATATGAGTAACTTAGGCACTGACAGGTCAGCACAGGCCTTGCCTGTACACTATAAACACAATGATTTAAAGCACAATTATTCAATTATTTTGTGTGTCTTCCCCCCCCCCCTCCCCCCTCCACCAACACTTGCTGTTCAGGTAGACAGAATGTAATGACTAATTACATTAAAATGGTATGCAAAGAACCTTTCCAAGGAAATGATACCAAATAAAAAAAATGGGCAAAGATAATTCAAATTCATACTGTTAGATCATCAAACACTACAAATGATTTTCATCTACAAAACCTTGCTTGCAGTATATGCCCCCTCCCCCTTTATGTAATATGAACATTCACCAAATATAATAAATTAAATGCGTCTAACAGAAATTAAAGTGTTTACATGCAGTTTGATGTCCTTATAATACCCTAGGTCATATAAGGTCAGAATACGCCTGCCACATATATTTCAGCTGTATTCGGCAGTGACAGAGAACAGCTGTATTATAGCATGTGCAGTAATTTGACGGAAATACTCTCTAAATTTACTTCAATATTACGTTTAGAAACAGAAATAGTTGAAATGAGTGATTTTTACATGTTGTAATGAACAAGTTGATTTATGAAAATTCATAAAACTGCTGTTATAGCCAATGAAATTTAAAACTATATTTCTGTGCAGAGCAATGCTTTTTGCATCTGTCATCAGACAAAATTCAGCATATCGTGATGGTCAGGTAAACACAGATTGAACAAAAAACTGTTTCCATCTTAATGGTAAGCTTTTCAATCAATGTTTGGGACAGAAAGACAAAAGTGACTTTATACTTTTGCCTTTTTTCACCCTCACCACCAAAACACAGCTTATATTTTAAGACACTGACCATGTATTTTCTATATATATATATATATGTCTGTTACAATAGAACTTAGACATGTGAAGCAAGGAACAGTCTGAGTTTCAGTCCACATCAGGTTTGGCCTTTTTTTTGTTTTGTTTTTTTAATCCACTGATGGTACAGCAATGAGCTTGACTGTCGATGGGGACCAAGAATGCACCAAATGGACTACCAATCCACATCCTCACCCAAATGGCTAATCTGTTCATATCCTCATCCAATGGACTAACCTGTCCATAATCTCACCCAGTGGACTATCCTGTCCATACCCTCATCCAATGGACTAACCTGTCCATACCCTCACCCAATGGACTAACTAGTCAATGTATACCTGATCTGTATTGAACACCGTGAAAAGTTAAGAGCAGTAAGCACCAATTTCAATGGTTTGGTTTGTGATGACCATTTAACAAAAGTCAGTCTTAGTGGCCATCTTGATTTTTGAAATGCAGACAAATCAAATTTGAGGAAGAAAGTGAGAAAAAAGAAAAAAGCAAGGGATAGGGTAGAGAATGAGAGAACAGATGACAAAAGGACAGAACAAAATACTTGGGGAAAGACCGATAAAATCATGGTGGAAAAGTGGAAAAAAGGATTAGGGGAAGTGGAATCTGTAAAATGACATGGGTAAAGCAGAGAAAGTGGAACAAGAAAACACAGGTGAGAGTGAGAGCAGGGAGAGGGGGATGGTAAGAGGATATCTACACATACCTAGGAGGTAGTTCTAGCTTAGCTAGACTGTCAGAACTGCTGTTTCGACTGGACTTCATGGAGAGGTCTTCCACACCATCCACAGACACATTACCATTACACATCTGATGATTCATCATGCTGTTAGCCTGCTCTAGTGCCACCTAAGTAAAAGATAGAAGGTATTATATAATGAGAGCTGCTGTAAACTTTCACACAACAAACTTCCTTATTAGGATAAAAGAATGAAACTTACTCTAAAATATTTACAGCAAAAGGGAAAACTTCAGGGCTTCCAATTCAGTATTATTGACATGAAACTAAAATCAATCAGATCATTTTTAAAGATAGTTTTGTTTAATAGCCTTTTCATTGAACCCTTCAGACAAAATGTTACTATTGTTTTTTTCCTTTCAAATCAAGCAAAACCAAAAATTCAAAATCTAAAATATGCTGACTTGTACTTTCAATCAAATTACATTTAATCTTGGATTTGCAACTCATGTAAATCTGCACACAAAAAACAACAAAACATAAGTGCATATGACTTCCCATTAGCACTTACTTTTAACAAATTCATAATTCAAGTTTTAGGAATGAAAGAGTTAAGAAGAAAGAGCAAAGTCTTCGTCAATGTAAAACCTGGAAATAATGACAATGAAGACAGTCAGTATGCTTTTAGTACTTACCCGTAAACTGGCATTGAGATTATCACCAAACACTGAATGTTCATTCTGCATAGAGGGGCTTTTAGATAAATTCCTGTAAAGTGACAATGGGAAAGACTTATAATCATATATCTATTTCAGAGTTGGTTTTAAAAAGTTTTCAACAAAATTACAATACTTATATCATAATTCAATCACTAAAATTTAATCATGATGATTAATTTACAGTTTTCAGCTAAATACTTCCAATAGGTCAGTATAGGTCAGTTCCTGGAGATTTCCTAACAAATGCCCTAAAATTTCATTTCAGTTTTGAATGCTATACTTCACATTTACGTTTTCTGATAATTAACTTTCTTTTATTATGACTGAATTTTCCTAAGGAATTCTATACAAATCTTTTACAAAACAATATCCAGGACGACACATTTTCTGAATTTTTTAAATAAATATATTGCTAGAAGAAATGTAATGAATTGTTAAACAAAAAAAAGGAAAGCAATTTTAGGTGCTTTATTCATAGAAAAATTAATATACATGTATTCAATCACAAAAGATGCGCATGAATTCAGAGCATGTCGCTCACTTGTTTAATCAATAATTATAATACAGCTCTCTCACATAACCTGACAGAAAGTCACATCATAGTCCATATATAGGACACAAGATAATTACTCTACCAATGACAACATTTAGCTGGAAGAGTTTTATAAATGCTAATCAGTACAGCAGTGACAGGTATTGAACAGTATATCTGTCCATCTTTCTGGACGACTGTCTGGAATACAAGCTACATATTATAGTCCCATCATGGTCATAAATAAACTTTTAATAAGGCCGACACGGAAATGAATTAATAGGATTCTAAATCAATACAAAATATATATTTCAGTCTAATTTGATATGTAGAGAGCTGATCAGAATATGAGCAGCAAGCACAACAAATCGAAATGTAACAATTAATCAGCAGTTAAATTGACAGGTGAATACAGATATATCATACGTAATGCACCAATCAATACGATGTAAGGATAGGAAGCTAGGGAACTATGGCCCTGTCTAATGCTAGGATCAAAACCAAAATGATTATTGTAGGCGGACACAAAAACCATGTATGATTACAGAGCTGTAACTAATGAAACAGAGCTCATCATTTATTTCAATGTTCAAAGGATTAAAATCTCAAGACCTCTGGCTTACTCAACTGATCAAGTTATTACAAGAAAAGTTTCTCTAGTCGAGCAGTGTATTGCAGCTAATAGTTTACCATAATTACACTTACTGTAAACTTAGTGAGTTTTGAGACTCTTTATTTTTGCAGTTTTACATGTGTACTATCCAAAACTTTGTTCACAAAACATTAAATGTTATTTATTATTTACATAATTACAAAGATATTTTAATATACCAAAGAGATGGAGATGGCTTAATATAAGATTATAAATTCATGTAAAGGTGTGAATCTCAGGAATTTTTTAAAAGGACACAAATAACAAAGCTACCTTAAAATGGGTGTCATCAGAAATCTAATACCAAAACTCAACACAGCTGATAACAAACACATCTGTCTTTTGATAACAGAATAATAGGAGAAGCAAACAATGACATACCCTCCCAACTTCTGAGGTCTTCTCTTGTAGAACTCAATTTCATCCACTGTCCAAACTGCTCCTTTCACATTCTCCACTCTCATAAAACATTTGTGTAGACTGAGGTTGTGTCGCACTGCATTCTATAAAAGAAATAATTACAATACTGCAGTATGGAAGCCTCTAACTTACAATACAAAGAGTTCAATGTTTGATAAATTAATGACTAGTTTGTAAAGATTGTAAGATTGTGAAAGCACATAATATTAAAAATGTTGATAGGAAATAGGTATTGCCAAGAGATTTTTTTCTCTGTTCAAACATCTTCAATCAGGAAAGCATACAAGAGATCTTACTTGTCCTTGAATCTCAGACTTTTGTAATAATAGCTTCTACTTTTAAATATTTTTGTACCTTCCATGTAGCTTCATTCCTGCGGAAGTAGGCAAATGTATTTTGAAACCACTGATAGATCTCGTTAAGGGTAAGCTGTTTGTGTGGTGACTCAATAATGGCCTGGAAGAATGAAACATGCATCGTTTAACATCATTTTTCGTAGCTGCCTGATTAAGGCACAAAAATAAAAGAAGGTTATTCTAATGAAAATTAATATCTTTTAATGATTGGATTGAAAACAATAACTAACCCCCAAAAAATAAGACATTTTGATATAAATTCTCATTGAAGGGAAATTGTTTGCTTTTGATAGTACAGAAAGGCTGAGAATGATCAACAGTGCTGAAGTGATAGATACCTGACGTATCAGCGAGGCATATGTGAACGGTGGGCGAACATCTGTACTTTTGTAGAAGTCTCTGTTTCTTTGGATTTCAGCTGATATGGGCAGGTTACACTTGTCTGATACTCGCCTCCTCATCGGACCAGCACTGGTGGGTGTGGTAGGCAGGGATGCTGCCTGTGACAGAGGAGTTGACGGTTTCGATATGGGCGTCTGACCAAGGGGAGGAGGTATCAATAGTGGCAGGGACATGGGGTTACCAACCAGGCCAACTGGGGTAGGAGGAGCTGAGACAGACATGGACAAGGGAAGATGCGGCAGCTTTAGTGGGCTGGAGGATGTGGACACAGTCACCGACTTGCTGCTGGGACTTGGAAGTTGATTGAGCAGATTGGACGAGGTGATAGGAGGTGAATGTGCGGTCAATGACTTCTGAAATACAACATTGTAATCATTTAAGTCTCATAGCTCTTCAACATGAGATCTTTAAGGTGAGACCTTCATCAACATTGACTCTGATAATCTGGTGAACTCTACCTTAGGTTCTGTTTTGAATACATTCAGTAACTAAAATTTTGTTGTACTTTGACAGGAAAAATTATCATAAATTCATATCACAGGAAAAGTTATCGGAATTCCAGGCTTTCGGAAGATTTATTCAAATTGTTAAACAAACAGCTGTCTGTCTTGGTGATAACAAATTATTAATATCATCCGACTTGTGGCATGATTTATCAATCTGAAATAATTCTTTATTTCACATATTCATTAATTTACATTCAAATAACCTTGGAGATATGTACATGGCCTATCTATAAATTTGTTTTGAATAGTGTTCCTTAGAATGGGTTTTTAAACCAAGATGAACTGTGATAAGACAAGCACCTGTGTTGTTTCTGATGACACAGGCAGCCCAGACTGTGCCTTACTGTCTGTAGGTTTCATATGTAGGTGTTTCATCATCTCCTGTAGTAGGTCCTTTTCTCGTGTTAACTATAATCAAACACGTAATATGGTTAACATCTCTTCTATATATTTGTAACAGTGTCTACATTGACACTAATATACTTTACTGAAATTAAAGTGAAATAAAGAAATTGAACAATAAAAATCATAAATGTACAAATGTTATTATATCACAAGCTTTGTCATTTGTTTAAAAAATTGAGACTTACTTAAACATCTTAATCCTGTTCAATATTATACAAGTAAAGTACTATGGCAATCCTGTTAATTATACAGGACAGGCACCATGACTATCCTGTTAAATATTATACAGGAAAGGTACCATGACTATTCTGTTACATATTATACAGGACAGGTACCATGACTATCCTGTTAAATATTATACAGGAAAGGTACCATGACTATTCTGTTACATATTATACAGGACAGGTACCATGACTATCCTGTTACATATTATACAGGACAGGTACCATGTCTATCCTGTTACATATTATACAGGAACGGTACCATGACTATTCTGTTAAATATTATACAGGAAAGGTACCCTGGCTATCCTGCTAAATATTATACAGGAAAGGTACTATGACTATTCTGCTATATATTATACAGGACAGGTACCATGGCTATCCTGCTAAATATTATACAGGAAAGGTACTATGACTATTCTGCTAAATATTATACAGGACAGGTACTATAAGCATATATGGGTATTTGTTTGTTTAATTGGATTTATTGCCCCATGAATGGCTAGGGTCATTTTCATACAGTGTCTACTTATAGTAGCTGGTGGCTATTTCACAACATACAGGAGACTCATCCAATGTAATTGGGATGAAGTATCTTGCCTGAGGACACACCCACATCAGTTCAGACTAGTTAGCTTCTCATCTTTCTGAGAAACACAAACTGCAACTGGTATGGAGTGTCAAACCACGCACCTCAAATCTTCAACTATGGTTGCCAAGGCAAACACTTTAACTACTTCAACTATCAAGGCCCATATTTCATTGCCAGACAAATATGATAGAGAATGATATAGAGAAAACAGTTTACTACATAAACTGTACATAGCAACCAGGCTATTCTGATGCCAATATGATATTCAATTCCAGTTCACCTGCAACAGTATTCCGTCAAAAATTAGTAACCTAATTATCAGTGTTCAAATAGGAGCACAGTTGGCAGTATTATCAGGTTAACACAGCTGCCTTATAATGGTACAATAGTGATAAATATAGTTGTTAGCAGTGTATATGCAATTAACAACATTTGACTGATTGTCATTTAGGTCACTAGACTCTGCACCAGCTAGCTGGAAAACACTTCACTTGTAGAGTCAAAATGGTCAGTGTTTTTACCAAGTCTGTCAGAGCTGATCAAGTTTTAAATTTATGTGTAAGTGCTACCTGAAATATCAATAAATTCAACCCTACAGTATAGATCCTAATAAACTGTAAACATTTTTCATTTGCAGCACACACAGTCAGCTGTGACATTAAAAATCTGCGCTTGATTCCTGACTTAGTGTGAACAATTTTCATTTGCAGCACACATAGTAAGCTTTGACATTTAAAAGCAACACTTGATTCCTGACTTACTAACAGGTAAGTTGCCTCCACAGGTGACATAGTCCATGCAATATTATTAACACCAGGGATTGACCTACTGCCCCAAATACTGAGTAGACAGTCACTTACGTCATAAATTGACCTACTGACCTTAATAATGAGTCGCCAATTTACACAAAATACATAATCATGCCTCATGCACAGTCACTAAATATGTCATAGATTGACCTAATGCTATAAATATTATGAAAACTGGTTAAAGCATGATGATGATAAGAAAAATAATTTTTATTGAATTGAGAGTGTGTTTGAAAACGAATACTTTGTATATATTTATGTACATTTTGTAAAATCTTCAAAACTTAAAAAAAGAAAAAGAAAAAAAGAAACCAAGTTAATGCCAAAGTTTACAATGTCACTGTATGCAGTAATCACCTAGCATAGTGATGACCATGAGCCTTACATAATGACATTAAATCTATGTTAACACTGTGGGTCAAGAAAAAGAATTTAGGCTTTGACTGACATTCCATATCTAACACAATCACCTTGAACCTACCTGGATTTCCAGTTGGCTGACAACCTGCATTTGGACACGAGCCTGGGCAGTGCTCCGGTCATCTAAAGTATGCTCAGCACTCAGATGCCTGGAACAAGCAAACATGACTATAGTTATACTTCTGTTTACTGACATGCAGATTTGATATGCTTATGTCAAGTCTATATTTGGTTTTATGTGTTATAGCTCACTATATCTGTAACTCAATGGAGGGAAGGTGGTTGGAAAGTTGAACAAGAAGTAAACAGTTATAACATTTGAATGTCCTGACAAAACAGTGAAACATTCAAAATATTCAGAAGGCATTCAGTGAAGTGGTTAAAATTGTCTAAGATAATAATCAGATCAGAATGTAACAAGCAACCAGTTCTCAGACATACAAAACATATAAGAAAAATCCATGCCTTTCCTGAACCTAATTTCCAATTGTTAATTTCTCAAAAAGAGTCCCATTTTCAAGAATAAAAGCGATTAATCTGAAATCTATGGGAAGTAATGTAACTCACTTGAGGAAACTAATATAGTCCTCGCAATGTGTATCACAACCAGGCCATTTACAAAGGCAGTGACGGAATAATGCATGGTAAGATGATGTAGGACTTGTCTGTTCTTGCTTAACCTGCACTGTGGAATGGCCGAGGGAAGAGTTGCCTGAAATACACAGCAGATTTCATTCATCAAAAGCTAGAAAAATGGACCTTTTATTTGCACATTACAGCATAGATTTTGTAAGAATTCATGGAACCAGATCATGTATGTGTTACTAGATTTTGTAAGAATTCCAGGAACCAAATCATGTATGTGTTACTAGATTTTGTAAGAATTCCAGGAACCAGATCATGTATGTGTTACTAGATTTTGTAAGAATTCCAGGAACCAGATCATGTATGTGTTACTAGATTTTGTAAGAATTCCAGGAACCAGATCATGTATGTGTTACTAGATTTTGAAAGAATTCATGGAACCAGATCATGTATGTGTTACTAGATTTTGTAAGAATTCATGGAACCAGATCATGTATGTGTTACTAGATTTTGTAAGAATTCATGGAACCAGATCATGTATGTGTTACTAGATTTTGTAAGAATTCATGGAACCAGATCATGTATGTGTTACTAGATTTTGTAAGAATTCATGGAACCAGATCATGTATGTGTTACTAGATTTTGTAAGAATTCATGGAACCAGATCATGTATGTGTTACTAGATTTTGTAAGAATTCATGGAACCAGATCATGTATGTGTTACTAGATTTTGTAAGAATTCATGGAACCAGATCATGTATGTGTTACTAGATTTTGTAAGAATTCCAGGAACCAGATCATGTATGTGTTACTAGATTTTGTAAGAATTCCAGGAACCAGATCATGTATGTGTTACTAGATTTTGTAAGAATTCCAGGAACCAGATCATGTATGTGTTACTAGATTTTGTAAGAATTCCAGGAACCAAATCATGCAGGAGTGTTGCTATAAAAGTTGCCATCACTTCTGATTTCTTGTTCAAAATTTAGTTTTGCCTACCTTGGTTGAGGTAGGTTTCTGTGATGCCATTGGTTGCCCAGCTGGTAGGTGGGGTTGGGAAGGAGAGAGATGGCAATCCACCGCCCAGTGACGTTGGAACAGCACCGTTAGCATTGTTTTTCATGTCATCCAAGCCCGACTGACTAGCCACCTCCTTCCATAGCTGCTGTATCTCCCCCGGTGACATCATACCTGGTAAGAGAAATGGTCTAGTTGCACTCATGTACATGGATGGGAAAAGGAGATTCCTGTCCATCAAAAGTGACATGGCTTATGTTCCCACTGTTGTTGAGTATTCCTAGTAACAAAATGTCTTTAGGATGTACTTTGAACCACAAGCTTTGCTTGACCTTTGCACTTTATATGCACAAAATCCTTTTGAATGTCGTAAATGGATCACTGAATTCGAAGCTTGACATGGACATGACCTTGGCCTTGATACAATAAAATTGACATGTCCACTTTGACCTTGACCTAAAATATAATACTGTCAATTGAACCCATTCATCACAAATTCAATGGGTATGTCAGTTTGTCCTTCACTTTGATCCAATGACCTAGATAATAAGTAGGTCAAGCTAATCCTTGTGCTAAATGACCTTGATCCCTTTCTTGATCCATCAATACCATGTGCTAATTTGAACAACTAATTGAAACAAAAAGGGCTGACTCTGCACTATTTTCAAAATGTATATATATATATCTACATAGCTCCAGCTGTAAAAATTAAGTCACACTAATTTAGCTTCTCTGCCTGCTCCAGTGTTGAAACTCATCAGGTTGGCTTGTGTATCCTCTGCCCTCCCCGATTGGCAAACGTGTGTTTAATCACAGGTTGGTATCTGTTTGTGTTAAAGCCCTCTGGATTGAATTATAACTTCTGCACAAAGTTAACAAACAGAAAATTACAGATTTCCTGTTTGTGGGTGCTGTATATTTTTGCTAACACTTGGCACAAAGGTTTTATAATCCATGGTCGGGATCATTACCGACAGCCTGACAGACAAGGATGCCCAAGCTGGCCTAGAGCACACAACCAGTGTGTGCAAATGTTTCCAGAGTGAAAACAATGCTGGAATTTGTTTATAAGTTGAAATGTTTACAAGATATACACAGGAAAGGCCCTGTCAGATGCTAATAGCCAATGTGTATGGAAAACCAAGCTTTTGTAAACAAGCCTGGTAAACAACTGCTCTTGAATGACTAACAACTGTGTAAACAAATAGGTTGGCCACCCCAACATGGCGTAAACAAACTATGGTATAAATAGCTAGCCTGCACCGGCTCTCTGTTGAAGAAATAAACAAGCCCAGATGAGGAGAGCTGATGACCTGGAAAAATAATCAACTATACTATGTATTCAGCTGCTGACATTATATTTCCTTTCACAGGGTTTTATCTTAAAATTGTACTTGATGTATTATTGATTTTGTATAAAATGTTGCCCATGTAAATACCAGCCAGGAGTTGATGGGGAGATGTACCGCACAACACCTCCTGCCTAGTCTAAGCCATCATAACAATAACACTATTTTAAATTTTTTTTCTTTATTACATAAAAACCAAGTGCTATAGTCAACTCATTCTGTATGAAGGTTATTTTTCCAAATGCTAGCTCTGTCATTACTTTTTTTTAACAAACAAGCATAAAATCAGATGCACTGGTGTTCAAGTGATAATTTCAAACAGGGACTGCACCAAAATAAACATATTTAAAAGCCAGATTATATAACCCACACAAGTTGTACCCTACCATTCTTCAAGCTGAGTTTCAGAACTTATACCAATATTCGTACACTTGACAGCAGTCCACTGATCTAAGTGCTAATGCAATATAAGTGATTGCAGAGTTTTTTGAAAGATCAGAAAAGAAGACAGAGAAAGCAACACGAGGCCAAAGGGTCTGCATTGCTAAACTTGTTTGGTCTCCATTTAATATTGCTTGATCTAATCAGAAGGAGGATTGTTAAGATAGACCCTATTCCACCTAATAGGCCAACTCCCTTGAGGAGAAGTGGCTATCAACATTAGAAAATTAGAAAAACTGACAGCTGGATGCAAAACCTCACTGAACAAAATTTCAATTTTCTGTTCCGTTCAAAATATGCCAGTTCCCTGAAATACATGTTCCTGAAATCTTTAATTTAAAAGGGTTTGTAAGGGTTTGTAGGGACACTGTATACTCCCTATACATTATGTGATAGTAAAGTTACTTTCTAGATTAGTGGGGACCCTGTCCCCTCTATACTATCACATGGTAACCTTTTTCTCTGGATGATTTGGGACCCCTTTTTCTTGTAATATAGTTTTTACAATAAATAATCCTGGATAAGTTGGGACCCCTTTTTCTTGTAATATAGTTTTTACACTAAATAATCCTGGATAAGTTGGGACCCCTTTTTCTTGTAATATAGTTTTTACACTAAATAATCCTGGATAAGTTGGGACCCCTTTTTCTTGTAATATAGTTTTTACACTAAATAATCCTCTGCATTCGGCTGGATCCACAGTACTCTACAGTTTGTTACTAGACAGATATCAATGGTAAAGGAGACAGACAGAAAAGTACTTACAAAACACTTACTTTATCTCTTATTCAAAACCATGACTATAACTAGACAATGCATGTGATCAATCCTGATAATTGAAGTAAAGAACACTATGAATAGTTGATGAATGTAGATGTGTATGAATGCAGCATTTTGTGTGAGATATTATTGTCAGTGGTAAATACACATGAAAACATTTAGTGATAGGGAAATCTGCTAATAAGTGTGTAACATTACTGATGTGGGGCTAGGTAGTTATTAATACTATAGAGGTGGGACTGGGTACCAATTAAGGGACAGTCTTAAGTCAATGGTGGGGTAATCAGCCAAAAGGTGTATAACACTACAGAAAAGGAGCTGGGAACCAATTAATGGAAAGTCTAGAGTCTGGTTGTGAAACAACTTGTAATAAAGTGTTGGACTGTCAAAACTAAGGGAGAGGTAAAAGGTTACAAATTACAATGAAGGTGTGAGTAAAGTCCTTTTGGAAGGATAGAGAAAATGTAAAATATCTGCACATGACACAGAAGAGTAGCATTGCAGGTGGGAGGCTATGAAAAGGGACAGAAAATAGAAGTTCAGATAGGGACAGAGGAAAAGGAAACTGTAAGGGGAAGTAACTAGAGATCATGAGGAGGGAATTTCTGTCTTTGAATTTTGATGGAATGATTTAGTGCGTCACGCATCAAAAGTCCAAAGCAATGTTAGTGAATACCTAATAACCTTGCTAATCCATTGCCATACTCGAACAGTGACCTTCTTGTCTAGGCCCTGACACACTCTGGTTCCGATGCAATTAGCAGGTACCAAAGACTTAATATTTGTAATGTCATTGTATTTTTCCTTTTCACTTGATTGTGTATAATCAACACAAACAACGGCTAACAAGCTTTTCTCCCATTTGTGAATCTTAAGAGCAATGATCATCAAAAAAAACCAGTAATTAATATTTCATGGTTTGTTATGATGTTCCAGGGGATTCTGGTAAGCAAGTTGTATACACAATATTAGCGGATAAAGGTAAACTTCACTTTGCATCAATAAACACACAGTTACCTATTCATATTTCATAAGGGCTTTTGTTCCAACGCTCATTGTTGGCGTCAGAAAAGTTTCAGAAGAGACATAACCCATTTTATTGTTTCATATGAAAGAAACTTGGTGATTAGACTGATCTCAATAAAACATTATCACTAATGTCAATTGGAGGCAATTAGAATGATTTTACCACAGGATCACTCGGTGCTAATATAATGACGTCATTCATGAAAAGGTGTGTCTGGAAATGTTCGAGAATTTTTTTTTTAAAGTCTGTCTGGTGTTATTTCTACCAATTCTATTTAATAAAGAACTGGCCTCCCTAGACAGGTTCACCAAGTCTTGTGAAAAACATTCTTTACTATGACATTTAAGATGATTTCTTAGCATACATGAGAACATAACTATGATATGTGTATTTAAAAGAATTTTTAAAGAGTATTTTAAAGAATAAGAGAGTAAATAGTAGAGTAGCTTTCCAGGAAATAACTCATCATTAGGCCTGAAAAACTGGGTCATTTCTAACCAACATTGCTTAGTATTTTCTTTTTTTAACCTTAGTCATATTTAGGGAGCTATAACTAAAAATTTTAAATTTCCATTATTATCAGGACAGAAATGAGCAATTAAGGTAAAGGGATAATCCTCCACAAGGTTGGGAGGGAAATAACTCACCTTGAGGAACGCCGAAGGGCTGGACAAGACAGGCAAGAAGGTACTGACGTTGTTGGATCTGAATCTGCTGAATCTGCTGGACTAGCTGCTGCTGCTGAAGAGCCAGCTGTTGGAGCTGACCTTTACCAACCTTGGACTTGTCTGGCTGCTGCTGCTGCATCAGCTGCGACTGTTGCAGCATGTTCATCTGAAGCTGGTCATTTAGTTCTTGTAGCATCTGGTCTTGAAGTTTTTGCTGCTGCTGCGAGAAAAAATATAAAATAGTAGGTACCTGTGAAACAGTTTAGCATCTAAACATTACTGAACTCATAATAGGACAGATATCTCACTCAGGACTCATTGGTATAACATTACTAGGACAGGTATCTCACTCAGGGCTCATTGGTGTAGCATTACTAGGAGAGGTATCTCACTCAGGGCTCATTGGTGTAACATTACTAGGACAAGTATCTCACTCAGGGCTCATTAGTGTAACATTACTAGGACAGGTATCTCACTCAGGACTCATTGGTGTAACATTACTAGGACAAGTATCTCACTCAGGACTAATTTGTGTAACATTACTAGGACAGGTATCTCACTCAGGGCTCATTGGTGTAACATTACTAGGACAGGTATCTCACTCAGGACTCATTGGTGTAACATTACTAGGACAGGTATCTCACTCAGGACTCATTTGTGTAACATTACTAGGACAGATATCTCACTCAGGACTCATTGGTGTAACATTACTAGGACAGATATCTCACTCAGGACTCATTGGTGTAACATTACTAGGACAGATATCTCACTCAGGACTCATTGGTGTAACATTACTAGGACAGGTATCTCACTCAGGGCTCATTGGTGTAACATTACTAGGACAAGTATCTCACTCAGGGCTCATTGGTGTAACATTACTAGGACAAGTATCTCACTCAGGGCTCATTGGTGTAACATTACTAGGACAGGTATCTCACTCAGGGCTCATTGGTGTAACATTACTAGGACAAGTATCTCACTCAGGGCTCATTGGTGTAACATTACTAGGACAGGTATCTCACTCAGGGCTCATTGGTGTAACATTACTAGGACAGGTATCTCACTCAGGGCTCATTGGTATAACAATACTAGGACAAGTATCTCACTCAGGGCTCATTGGTGTAACATTACTAGGACAAGTATCTCACTCAGGGCTCATTGGTGTAACATTACTAGGACAAGTATCTCACTCAGGGCTCATTGGTGTAACATTACTAGGACAAGTATCTCACTCAGGGCTCATTGGTGTAACATTACTAGGACAGGTATCTCACTCAGGGCTCATTGGTGTAACATTACTAGGACAAGTATCTCACTCAGGGCTCATTGGTGTAACATTACTAGGACAGGTATCTCACTCAGGGGTCATTGGTGTAACATTACTAGGACAAGTATCTCACTCAGGGCTCATTGGTATAACAATACTAGGCCAGGTATCTCACTCAGGACTCATAAGTATTACACTACTACCCGAGGTTTCTCACTTAGGGCTCATTAGTGTAACATTACTACCCGAGGTTTCTCACTCAGGGCTCATTGGTATAACATAACCAGGCCAGGTATCTCACTCAGGGCTCATTGGTATAACATAACCAGGCCAGGTATCTCACTCAAGACTCATTAGTATTACACTACTACCCGAGGTTTCTCACTCAGGGCTCATTGGTATAACATTACTAGGCCAGGTATCTCAATCAGGACTCATTAGTGTAATTTTTGTACGCACTTTGTATCATCTTTGAGCTGTGTATCAAACAAATCTTTGACTATGTTTTGCTTAAACAGAAAAATGAATTTACACCTAAAAACCTATATTCCGCAAAACATTATGCATCTTAAATAGAATCTAATTGTTATACATTGTATTTTGTAGCGAAAAGTCACAAAATGATTAATTATAGTGTCTTGATGGCAGCATGGTAGAGACTGTTGATTTTTTAATTGGAATTAAATAGTTACTTCATGGGCATAAATTTTGTTTATTCACATAGTTATGCAAAAATTTAATTTAAAAAAAACAAAGGAGGAAATATAAAGTTCCACAAGTCACATGTTAAAAACACATGTGTCATACATTTGGACAGTCTGACAGACTGCTGTATAAATTTTTGTTCACAAAATTACAATTTTGTTTATTCAGAATTATGCAGGTTTCCAGAAAAATATTGGCCATGTCTGGCATTGAGAAGTTCTGGTTTGAGTGATGGGGTGGCTTACTGTCAGCGCTGTGCACATGCCGTATGTAGATTCAAAGCTCAGTTTATTTAATTATCTTATATTTTGGGCACTAATTGAATAAACAAATCTGAATAAGACAGTTGGAATTATGCGTCCATCAGCACAGTGATAAATACCTAGTCTCTTGACATCTTACAAGTATGCTAACTTTTATTGCATTAATATTGTAATGTGTCCAAATTTATGCATTAGGAAGTCCTAGACTTCTGTTGACAGCCAAGTGACACTGTTTTTGAGAATCTATTTGTCTTGTTGGCACTCTGGAAAACAAACTAAACCAGTTGATCTGACAGGCTTCTACAAGTCCTGAGTAATGTGTGGATGTGTGAATGTTCCTCATTAACAATTGTTGTTGTTATCACAGCTATAAGATGAAATGAAAGTTTCAAAAACACAAGAAAATTGCATTCACATCATTTGTACAACACTCAAAAAGCAAAATACCAAAAACAAAACAAAGGTTCAGTGACAACTAGCTGAAACCCTAAACTTGTTACATTTAGCCTACAACATTTTTTTTTAAACAGAGCAAACTTAGCATGTCGCATAATAGCTACCTTATAATACATGATCACCTGTATACTAATGGTCGTTTATCGCTACAACTCTTGGTAGAGGGAACACAGAGACAACAGACAAAACAATCAATAGTTTATTTATTGGAGCAACCACATATAGAAATCTGTAGCAAATTAAAGCTTAGCTAAAAAACGAAAAACTATAATTAAAACAAGAGGCTATGGGGCATGTATCACTCACCTGGTTTGATTTGATCACAACTGCTTATCTAACTAGATGGGAAGGATTTTTATAATTTTCACCTGAGAAGTCAGTCGTTTTATTTATACCAAATTAAGTCCCCTATATCCAATCATGCTTCAGACCAAAATAGGTCTAAATTTTACTTAAGACAGGCTTCCCAGATATTTCTCTAAAACACCAACTTGACCAAGCTAATCTGCAAGTGGTGTGACCCTTCATTTAAACCATACAGAGTTTGCGTTTACTCAGAAATGCTTCAGAACAAAATAGGACAAAATTCTGTAATTTCTAAAGAAGGAAGACTTAAAAGAAATTGATTTTTTTTCCTCTATTGGGTTCCATCTTTCTGCCTCTGAGGGCTGACCCCCATCATTAATACAAAACTGATTCAGCTTCACATCCACGCGAAATTGAGAAGTAATTCTGGCATTCCTATAAAAAAATGATTTTTTGAAATTTGCTCTTTTTCCCTTATTGTGTGTGCCCCATCTATACTGCCCCTAGGGGCCAGACCCAAGGTTTACACAAAATGATTTTCCTTCAATTAAGGATGATTCAGAAAAATTTGAACAAAATTCTGACATTCCTTCAAAGAATCATTTTAAAGAATTGCCCTGCTCATCTTACCCCAAGACCCACCATTTATACAAAATTTATTCCCCTCCCCCAAGGATGCTGCTGACCAAATCTGGTCAAAATCCACCAAGTCATTCATGACTAGTAGGGATTTTTAGAAAAAGTTGACAGCAGATGACTGAAGCAAGCAATGGCATCAGCTTATCAGTCCTTTGGACCAGGTGAACTAATAAAACGGGAACATCACCTTCATAACCTTTAGTCATTCTAAATCAAAACCATCAATGATTTTTGTATATATATCTAAACAGTGAATTAATTGCTTTGACATTCACAGGATTATGAATGTAGGCAGGATAAGGTCAAAGTCAATGAAGTTTGTTATAGTTTCATGATGAATTTTGTCTTTATCCATAAATGTTGACTAAATCCAGCCCAATGCTCATATTAAACCATAAACAATTTTTATCTTGTTACAGGAGGAGGCAACATCAATTTGCTAACATTACTTGCAATATTCCAAAGCAGTTGTCGTTTCATGAGCTGGTAATACACAACTGGCTATGGTAAGGCTACACCATAGTAGCTCCATACAATGGTAGATATTTTGTAATATTTGTTGGTGCCATGTATAATATGGACCTATTATAAGTGCAGCAGATACATGAAATACGTCTAAAAACAACTTACAACTGTATTTGTGCAATAAAGAAACAATGCTTCAGGGACATCAATAAATGCAATATACAATCAGAAATTGAATAAACAAAAATTGTTTGTAAAATTTGGGAAAAAAAAGGACCTGTTCCACAAGAATATATCCTACAGTAATTGATTCAGTTCATACACTGCATTTTAGACTTTAAAAAACTGAAAGGTGAAGACTTAATACTATAAATAATCTGCAACCGTACAGGAGTGTAAATAATTAAAGCAACATGACCAGCTATAAATTCTGATTTCCCTGCTCTCAGCTCTCCCGAAAAGAAGGAAGAGACGATGTTAAGAATCCTGACCAATGACCATCACTGACCACTCCAATAACAAATTTGTCTACCAGTAGGAGAAAACAAGAACAATAAAACAGCAATCAACAAGGCTGTTCCTTGAGATGAATTGGCAGTATGTCTAGCTGGAGGGGCTGATCTACCCTGGTGTTAGTAGTGACTATCCTTGTTAAGGCTGATTGTTTCTCTATCTGCACTGTTATGTCATTAAGACAAAACTCTCCACACCTGTATCTGATCCCATATATACACCTTTCCTGGTGATCAGTACTTCTAGCCTAAAGCTCTACAATACAAATGGGAAACAGCAGTAATACACCTCCATAAGGTTTTATTAAAACCTATTCCCCTACTTCAGGAACAGAGACTAAAGATTTCATCCTTAAAACCAATTTTCTTGCATCAGGTCAGGAAAAGTAAATAGGTAAAGCTTTCATCCATAAAGCCAATCACCTACTACAGGAACAATGACTAAAGCTTTCACCCTCAAAACCCACCATCCTACTCCAGGAACAATGACTAAAGCTTTCACCCTCAAAACCCACCATCCTACTCCAGGAACAAAGACTAAAGCTTTCACCCTCAAAACCCACCATCCTACTCCAGGAACAAAGACTAAAGCTTTCACCCTCAAAACCCACCATCCTACTCCAGGAACAAAGACTAAATCTTCCACCCTCAAAACCCACCATCCTACTCCAGGAACAAAGACTAAAGCTTTCACCCTCAAAACCCACCATCCTACTCCAGGAACAAAGACTAAATCTTCCACCCTCAAAACCCACCATCCTACTCCAGGAACAAAGACTAAAGCTTTCACCCTCAAAACCCACCATCCTACTCCAGGAACAAAGACTAAAGCTTTCACCCTCAAAACCCACCATCCTACTCCAGGAACAAAGACTAAAGCTTTCACCCTCAAAACCCACCATCCTACTCCAGGAACAAAGACTAAAGCTTTCACCCTCAAAACCCACCATCCTACTCCAGGAACAAAGACTAAAGCTTTCACCCTCAAAATCCACCATCCTACTCCAGGAACAATGACTAAATCTTCCACCCTCAAAACCCACCATCCTACTCCAGGAGCAATGACTAAATCTTCCACCCTCAAAACCCACCATCCTACTCCAGGAACAATGACTAAAGCTTTCACCCTCAAAACCCACCATCCTACTCCAAGAAAAATGACTAAAGCTTTCACCCTCAAGATCCATGCACCTCCTTCAGAAACTACAAACAAAGCTTTCACCACCAGCTCTAGGATCAACAACGAAACTTTCACCCACAAATCAAACACTGTCCTTAAGGAACAATGACTAAAACACCAGTCTTTCTATTTCAGAAATAATGAATGAATATTTGGTCCTTAAGCTAGTCTGCATGCTTACAAAGCCTGAATGAATTTTTCCTCAAAACCTTTCCTTTATCACATTCCTTGAAGATCCATCACTAAATCTTATCCTCAAAACAATTCTTCCCATTCAAAGTAAAGTACAATGACTTTATGTTAGCCTCAAGTGCAATAATAGAAGTTGTGATTTGTATTAATTTATATTATGAAAATATCTGGTATCTGATAATGGCCAAAAAGTAGTAGCCAGTAACGAAGAACAGATGTTAGCTTCTAGAATTCTATTTATAATTCTGTGATCTATGCAAATTTAACATGAAAAGCATTTGATATATACATGAATGTGACAATACAGGCACTCAACACCTCAGAGCTGAAGTGAGAAGGAACAGACAGGTATGACAGGTAACATGTGTTAGTGTTGATGGATAGTCTGGTTGATCTGCTGACCAACAGACCGGTCAAGCCTACGGCCAAAGGACAGCTTGCCTTTTATTACCTGTCAAGGTCAGAATGACAATTCCTTACTGTTAGATTAGATTTGTTACAATTATTACACAGGCAATACTGAGACACATACAATGAGGTTACACCCTTCTTATCAATCTCAGCATTGTTTTTAAAAAGAGGTATATTTCAACCGATTTTAGACATTGTTTTTTAAACATATACAGGAAACATTAACAAATTCTATTGTTTGTGCCCATCATGAAGAAGTATATGTAAAAACACTTGTATGTGTATACAATACAGCTGTTGTAAAGGTGGAAAAAGTTTTGACATCTTGATAACTTATCATCTTAATTTGTTAGTGTATTTTTGATGCTGTTTTAACATATTTTTTATCAAAGTTAAAATGTTTCATTGGTGGACTTTAGTTAGCAGTTAGTGAGATATCACTATTGCTTTTCGATCTTCTCTCTTCACTTCTCTCTATCACTCTCTTTCTCTCCACCAAACTTCACAGAATCACAATACAAACAACCTTGAAACCAATAATTTATGTTCATCCTCACCTAGAAGACAAGAAAATTATCACAGACTTCATTTCTACTTTAAATGTCAAACAAACATGACACACTGTCAACTGGATGAATTAAAACAGTAAAAACAGTCATACAAGCTACACAAATTCATAAATCCCTTCCATTTAGGTAATTCCGATCTTTATACATATTTGTCATTAGCTAGAACAGAATCTGACTAGTGACGCAACAACATAGCTAATGGATCACTTTAACTCATGATTATACAAACAAAACAAAAAACAAAGAAAAAAATATATAAAAAAACAAGAACAAAAAAAAAAAAAAAAAGGGTGAAAATTTTCTTTTATTTTATTCTCCCTCATCAGAAATCATTAGCTGTTTATGGAACAATAACTATTTCAATACCACACTACACTTGTGCAACAAACTGTCATAACTGCTATTTACCATTGTTGTAGCTGATCTTTAACTTGGCAAAATTATTTAGCTACTGTCATGGTATTTTTATTTCCCCCTCAAAAGGTGCTTTTTACCTACCAAAGGTGCATTTTCTTCAAGTTCAGTGTTGTGTCCACACATGTGGTGGATTATATACCTAAGGAGCATTTTCTAAATACATGCAGTGCTGTTTCCTCACAAATTGTGCTATCATGTACTTTAGATGCATCTTCCCCACAAGTGGTGCTGTTTTTTCACATGTGGTGCTATTCTCTACCTACAGTGTATTTTCCCCACGAGTGTTGCTAATCTTAAGCGTATCTTCCACACACATGCTTCCTTTTCATCAAATGTGGTGGTATTTCTCTACCTAAGGTGTATTTCTCCCAAATGGGGTGTTGCTTCACCACATGTGGTTCCATTATAATTGTTGTACCCACCTGGTGCTGCAGCATCATGGACTGGTGCTGCATGATCTGCTGTAGTTGCTGTGGTGATAGACCCTGATTCTGTTGCTGAAGGAGCTGTTGCATCTGCTGTGGCATCATGCCATGTTGGGCAGCAGCCATCATCATCAAAGAGGGGTGTGGCCCTGTGGGAGTGATTCCAGCCCCCAGTTCCACCATACTATTAGATTTTGTCTTACGTTTAGCGGCTCCACTCCCTGTTGTGGACTTGGTATGAGGTGAATGTGAAAGTTGACCCTAAAGAAACAAGATAACGGTGTTAGTATTTCAACTTTTTTCAATGTCTATTTTATCAAAGCAACAGTCTGCTAGCATTTTGATAATTTTAAGAAAAGATGACTGTAGCATAATTCTTTGTTAAGTAAGACATTGTAATAAAAAACAATACAATGTCTGATACATGAATTATCATAGGCACCATGGTTAAACAATTTGGGAATTAAAAAAGTCACTGTGATGTAGATCATGCTACTGATACTGAAACATGTCAGTAAGTCCATGAATTACTACTGAATACTTCCTCAACTCTGTGAAAGATTTGGCATACCTGAGATTCTACCTCCCCGTTTTCTGTGGAGTGAGTATCGCCATTTTGTGTAAGCGGGGATGGCCCTTCTTTGTTCACGGTGGACAGGTTGATGACACCTTCGTGGTCGCCTCCCTTCTCCATCATGCCATTGCTCTGTGGACACAAAAAATTGGTTAATTCTACTGCTGACATGAGGATAAACTGACTAGGTAAATCTATAATGTGATAAATGCTCAGATGGAACACCACCCATGTTTCAAACGGGTAACTGTTTACAGTATTAACATGCACCCCTAAAAACAGCAGTTGCACACTGAATGCCATACAGAGTTATATATGTTTACACAAGGCAAAGAAACCAACATCAAATGAAGATTATAAACGAGTACATTTTTATATCATCAAACAAGGCATAATAGTCAAGGTAAATTAAACATCAACATTACACAGAGCTGAAATACAATAACTGTTGGTTATAACTTTGGCAATTTACAAATTGAAGATAATACACCTGAGTAAAATATTAATTTGTCCAGTGAGGTGGCATCAGGGAGAAAATGTTGCTTAGCAACTATCTCCATCAATGATGCCATACAACAGGGCCAATCAGTATTTCTTAGTGGCTGATCCATATAAGGAAACAGTGTTGCAGCATCTAACATTAGATAGAATTATGTTACCTTGCAACCTTGCAACAAAGCCAATTATACATGGCACCTGTTCTATATAAGGACATTTTCTAAGGTCCTCCTATCCATATAAGGAAACCAGCAGTGTTCAGGGACCAGGTCATGGCTAAAATGCCAAAATTAAATAGAGCACAATAACACCAATTGGATCAACAGACTAGAAGGTAGCAGTTATAGTGTAAAGGTTAGCAAATTAATTAAGGGCTGTAAATTGGTAGTCATAGACTAAAGGTAAGTTAGCAACTTTAGATAGCTGATGACTATGAATAAGTGGGTTAAGCCAAAAAGTTAGCAACTGAAGGTAGTTGATGGCTGTGAATAAGGAGGTTTAGCCAAAAGGTTAGCAACTTTAGATAGCTGATGACTCTGAATAAGTGGGTTTAGCCTAAAGGTTAGCAACTGAAGGTAGTTGATGGCCGTGAATAAGCAGGTTTAGCTTAAAGGTTAGCAACTTAAGGTAGTTAATGGCCGTAGATAAGTGGGTTTAGCCTAAAGGTTAGCAACTTAAGGTAGTTAATGGCCATAAATAAGTGGGTTTAGCCTAAAGTTTAGCAACTTTAGATAGTTGAAGGCAGGAAATAAGTGGGTTAAGCCTATAGGTTAGCAACTTTAGATAGTTGATGGCTGTGAACAGGTGATTATAACAGAAAACTTTATCCATTTAATAATTGTTAATATCTTTCAAATTTTATGAAGAATTTGAGACTCTGACAGCACACAAATCAAACTTTATCTTCCTTCAATATGTATGTGTTTGGGCCACTAACATACTTTGCATAACTTTATAGACCTAAATCACATTCCTCGTTATAATCAATCATTACAACAAGAGCAAACTCTGTACAAATAAATATTGTCATCATAATGTTCACATCACAATGACAAATACTTTTTTGTGTAATTTTATGAGAATATATATACATGTACAATGTAGCTTTCAATCAATCAAATTTTAACAGCATTCATTTGACCTCATTAACTTCACTTGAAGCATCAGCAAATTACTTTATTTGAAAAGCTGTCATAAATATGTTGTTACAATATGTACTGTATATCTTAATTGTTCCTACAGTCGTTTGTTTCCTGTTCTCATCGTGGAATATGATTAATTCAAATATTTTTTGTTATTTTATAGATAATAATTCATGTAATTTATATATCTACATTGGAACTTCTGTACATAATTTGAAAAATATCTCATTTACTAAGTTTTAAAAGGAATTTCTTAATTAAATAAAAAAAAAAAAGAAATGAACTAAATTTGAAAGGAACTCTGTTCTAAATTTGAAAAGCTCATCTATTGTACATAAGATTATGTCTTGACAACAGTGACAAAAGCTCTATCTACATCATCAAAAGTCATTGAGAATTATTTTTACCTTCTTCCCGGTTAATTCACAAAACTTGCGTTGAATGAAACCTCATTTAAAAAAGAGATGTACAGGTAAAAATTTTGAAAATACATCAGTAATATGAATGAAATAGAAGTAAATAATGTCTTGATTTTTAACTAAACTTCAATATAAAAATTACACAGACAATATATTGTCATTGTGCAAGACAAAGTACAGAGATGGACTTACGAGATTTTGGTATTGGAAACAAAGCTGGTCCCAGACATTGTTTGTATCATAATTAAAAAGAGGCACCACACATTTAAACTGGGTCGTATTGTTTACTAACAGGGTATTTAGGGTCTGTGTGACACTGTAAGACTGGGACATCCAATACCTGGTGTATGTATGTAGCAGGTTTAAAGAGGCAATGATCCGACAAATCTCAGACACTCGATAAGATGTTAACAAGATAAAACACCTATGTATGTACATATATACACACAGGAAAAAACCACCCTACACTGCATGGAGTAGCTGTGTGGTGTAACCACACTTTAGAGTAAAACTGGTCCAGCACAAAGAATTTCATAACCATTCAAGTCAGGGAATTGGCTTATTACAGGACTTTTTTTTTTTTTAGGGGGGGGGGGGGCATTGGGATTGGGGAAAGGTTCTGCTACTGTAACATGGAGCTTGACTCGTCTACCCTAACTACCTAGCTACTATCACTAAGCTGGCCTCAAGCTCTCGCCTTTTCTACCTCAGCTACTACTTTCTGAGCTGGCCTCAGACTCGCCTGATTTACCCTCGCAATAAGTTTCTGAGCTGGCCTCGATTGGATGTATTAAAGTTTTCTTGTTTACTATGTAACATATTGAAATGACCTGATGATATCTATAAATTGTTACAAAAAAAATTAATAAAATAAACAAATAATGAATGCCATATTTAATGTAATTATTATAGATCAAGATGTGACAACTGATAAGAAACCGAAGCCAATATTTGCTTTATGAAACACATGTAAGCAGTACCTGGTTATAAGGGCAATGTTCTACAGGCTGTACTTGGCTCAACAGTAGCAGGGGAAATGTGTCAGTGGGTCACATATTCCATATATATACATACAATTGTAGGAAGGTATCAGAATCTCCTCCTTGAGGCTCAGACTATTTTCATTCATGATGTGAATTACAATTGAAACCCTACACAAGGCCGTACAGGATGTGGTCCCTAGTATTTACATCAAGTGGTGCAGTGTATGCTAAAGCAGTCATAATTATCTCACAAGTCGTATACACATTCTTATTCCCAATTATATCCAAACACTTAATTCTAATTCATTTTAAGAAAAAGAGTACAAAGATATAGTAGCACTCCAATCCTCCTAAATCTACTTGGAACCTTTCATACAACATACAAATTTTAACAAGGATTTCAGCAAGAATAACGCACAGTTATATGTTGTTCGTGTAAATGGTTATCTGTTTCTATGATATATAATGTTAGAAATGATTGGACTCATGACCATCATAAGAGTTCACATGATACAAAGCGTACTGATATCATTCTATCTGATTTAATAGCCCCTCTGCATAGCTATGGTAATTAAAAATATCTCAACAAAACAGTCAGTTCAACGTATTTATTTTCAAAATTAATCAAAACAAAAGCAAAAAACTTTCAGACATGAAAAATCAAGCATTTATTTATTTACAACAGTCACAAATAAATAATTATAGAAACCATTAAAGCCAATGATCAGAAGTCACCAAATGACCAGTTCCATGTTATTCTCATTTCTTTCAAAACATTTCCAGGAAATGTACAAAAAAGCTTTGTATGGGACCAGAAATTGTGTGTAGGGGTTTTCTGTGTGACATGACTAGGTAAAACAAGGCTGTATGCTTTGATCATTTTGTCTGTCAATCTCTGACAGGTGCCCAATTAATTAGGTGATTAAAACAGGACAGGTGAGACAAATGTAAATGTTGTAGTGTTTCCGGCAAATTTGTGATTCTGTCGGCAAATCTTGCTGGTACATGCTGTTCAACATCTTTACAAAACAACAAGACCAGCACCTCTGGTGCTTTCACTGGGACAAGTTACAGTAAAGACACATCTGCTACAGGCAAACAACTCCTGTAGAAGTTTATTATTTCTCAGGTCCTTACTCTATTAAGGTCTGCACATTATAGTCAATACAATTCCATATTCTTTTTTTCCACAGCTGTTTGACTACTACAGCATATGATGCTATTGAGTGCAGAAATGGATTTTTTTGTCAGTAACAGTTCTATTTGCCATCTTGTACAACCTGTATGATTATATATCACACCATCTTTTTGACTTATATTTGAATTTTATATAATATTATATAATGACAGTATCAGATGGATCAATATATGTAGACAAAAAATGCATACTTCAATTAACCTGTTTAAAAGTTAACATAAAAGAGTATGTTTAAATTTTGTATTGCCTTAAGTGGTAGATCTTTATATCACCAAGTGCAGAAACAACCTTAAATCCCGCCCCCGCAATTCAGGTTCTAAACCACAGAAATAACGCCTATCATTAAACGTGTACTTCACAAATACAGTAGGTCCCGACCTCCCTGTAAAACATTGTCGCCGGTAGTACACACTTAACTCGCTTGGATGGAAACCAAACTTAAACAATACAATCAAATTTAAAACAAAAGAAAATGATTCATAGCACTTAAAAACATTCACAATTAATTAATTTCTACTACTGTTGGTACTGATGGACGTGTAATTATAACTAAATTGAATCTATCCATCACCGGCTAAGAAGGCGGAGAGGGATCATTTCAGATGTATCTGTGTCTCAGGTGTAGACTAGTTACAGACAGCTGATGTACTTTTAAACCTTAAAGGTAAAAACAAATAAACACTAATAAACTTACATAGCACGGCAGCTAGCCCACCAAAGGTCCTGACTCACGAGGGAGGGGTATCACATGATACTGCACGTCAGGGACATTTCAAATTCATCAACTCTTTTCTCCATCAAACACTCACGCGTCATAAGGTAAATTGGTAAGAAATACAAAGACTGGTGTGTAGGGTCTGCCTGTCAATCAACAGGTTAACTTATTCTATAA